AAATCACAGAAAACAGAAAAGCAAAAATGTGTTTCAGAATCAAGAACAGTGATGAACTATCAAGAACACTGTGCCAGAGTTAGTGCAAGAGTATAGGGCCAAGAACAGTGTCAAAAGTGCAAGAAAATTGTGAGCAGTGTGTGTATTCAAGACATGGGCAAAAGCAGAGTCATGCAATAAACACACTCAGATACATGATTCATAAATTGAATACTTGAGCAAAACAACAATGGCAACAAGTAATGGAGCGGAACTTCTTGAAGAGCAACAAGAGATAAAACCAGGAGGAACAATGGCTTACTAGAAAAAGTAAGGCCGGTGTAAGGATCGCCGAAGTCAGACAAACGGTTGTAAAAGCGATAAAGTGATGAAAATCACGCCAGAGAAGACGAGTACAGCAAAAAACAACGATGTAAAGTGAGAGAGAAGGCCTCAAAAAACAACGATGTAAAGTGAAAAGACGAAAGAAGAAGGAAGTTTTGTAAAAAACTTGAAACGGCGACAAAAAAGGCAATTAATGTTTTTGAAATGACATATGCGTCAGACGGCGCACACGATGAGAAAATTCGCCTTACAGGCGCGTATCGAGTACGATCCAGTAAGGGGAAGATGCATGGCTAAAACAGTTGGATTATTATGCATGACAACTCATACGCGTGAAGGAGCTCTTGGAATTCTTGTTCTTTAAAAAGACATGTCGACCTGCATGATGATCTCGGCTAAAGAAATTTTGAAGCTGGCATACTGGAAGGAAGTTCTGATATAGGTTCCATCACCTCAGAATGCTGAGGTAATAGAACTTAGGGAGCAATTATGGGGATATATTTTCTGAGATACCAACACGTGGTCAAGGTGACGCCGACGTGTCAGCCGAGGTGCCACGTGCCCTGGTCACGACACCGAGGTGATCTCGGCTAGGCCGAGGTTATCTCCGAAGATATCGGAATCCGAGATAAGCGGATAAGGGACAAGAGTCTTAGAATGAGAGAGAACTTCAGTTTGGATAAAGATAAGACTCTTAGAGAGTTTATCCCAATCCTACTGAAAGTCCAAGATTAGTAATAATCCTAAGTCAATTAAAGCTAGGCTACTATTGGGATTAGGTAAGTGTTGACTATAAAAGAGAGGTACCCCCATAGGTCTAAGGTACGCAATTTGCATTCTAAATAGTGAGTTAAGTACTTGATTTATCTTTGAGAAATAATTGACTTGATTGTCGGAGTGCCCCCGGGTAGACAAACCACCGCCGGAATCTCTTCTTTCTGTTGCAAGTCAATCAAGCGTCATCTATTCTATCAGTATTCTCCAACTAAATTCTGAGTTGACAGTGTGTTGAAAAATTGACACACACAAACTCTTATAAGGGGTTGTTTAGAATGACCTAAATAAGTGTACTTTTTATCTTTTTAAAAAATATATATAAAAAAATAAAAAAATAATATAATAAAAAAAAATAAAAAAATAAATTATTTGAGACTTTCTAAATTTGACCTAAAAATACGTTGCAACCTGAACTCATGGTCTCATACTAAAGACAAGGCTTAGGAAACTTATATATATATATAAAAATGCATTTATCATCACATATATCTCCACCACATATCTATATCTGTGCCACAAAAGTAAAGTACAAACGTACACCATAGCTCAAGGTTAATGCATCCACTTGATTGGCGTCTCATATTGGGGTCCCACTACATCATTGTTGGGACTTGGGCCCCTTGTAATGTAATGTGTTGGATTCTCAATCTGTGAGTCTTGTCCTTCATCTCTCATAAATTTCATCCCCAATCTTTTTCAAAAAAAATATGTAATTCAAATAATTATAAATATTTTTTTATTAAAAAAGTTTATTTAACAAAATTAATTAAAAAAATAAAATTTATAATTATTTTCCTATATAATAATAAAATTACTTAAATTATTAATTGAAACATATTTTTAATATCATTAAAAACTCTTAATTAACTTGATGGTTGATTAATAAAAGGGACGATTTGTTGTGAAATTAAAAATCTAAAGGGGTGTAATGTAATTTTCAAAACCATATGAGGCGATTCTTATTTTAATCAAATCTCAGATGATGTATTTATAATTTATTCATAAATAATTGATTGGTAATATTATGTGGTCATTTTTTACACCAATTACGATTTACTATGTCTCTCATATTCTTCAATTACTTAACAAGTCAAACCAAACTAAGCTAAGCCTTAAGTCTCATTAAATATGGTCGGCTACATGAATCTTTCTTCTCCACACGGCTCTATCAAAAGTCATTTCATTAGTCAAATTAAGTAGGTCTATATCTCCATGTGCAACGCTAACCAACGTTAATCTAAGCTTACTCGGCCCCTTAACACTTCCATCTACCGTCACTGTATCACATATCTTCATTACTGTCTCTGTTGGTCTCCGTTGAATATGATCAAACCATCTCAATCGATTATCTCTTAACGTATCTTCTATCGGTGCTACTCCTACCCATTTATGAATATATTCATTCCTAATTTTATTTTATTTAATTTTACCACGTATCCATCTTAGGGCACCATTTGACGATGCTAAGACTAACCAATAACTTCTCAATCATTTCACAACTCCAGGCCAAATGTTTTACCACTAATGTGTAATTAATTTTGTACAAATGCGTATCTTGATATTGGTTATAAAGACTAAATAAATTTATTATAAGTGTCGCTTAGGTGCCGTTTGGTAACACTTACGTTTTCAGTTTTCTGTTTATATTTACAAAAATTTTAAAAACTCAAATAAAAACTTGTTTGGTAAAATTTTTGATTTATAAATCAGTGGTCTCAGTTTATAAATTTGGCCAAAAAATGTTTGTGGTTTGTTTTTTTATTGATTTATTTTTGTCATTAAATAGTTTTTTGAAAAGGATTTTAAATTTTTTTTATACTTTAAATTATACTTAATGAGATAAACTAAAAAATTAATCTTTGTAAAAAAAAGTTCTTAAAAAGACCAAAAAAATAAGCCATTTTTTATTTTTAAAAAGTTTCAATTTTTTTAAGTATTTATATTCGTGTAGACAAGACGGATTGAAAAAATAAAATTTTCTGACATAATTTTAAAAAAATATTAAACATAAAAATAATTGAAATTTTTTTGGGCTTATTTGGAAGATCTCAAACATCCCTTAACACTACCTACATAATTTCAAAAGACTTAACCACATAGAGGTGACGTCTGGGGTTAGACCCTAAGGAGTCAAGACTGTAGAAGTCACTCTTAAGTGGTAGTATATAATAGAGCCACTGAACTATATAGTGGTAAGTTACGGAATTCGAACCCATACTCCTGACACTGAGTATGATTCGCTTAGATTTAGAAGATTTATCTTACAAATCCATATATAAAAATAACTAACTCTAGAGAAATTGAAATGTAAAACCTCAAACTTTATATCTCAAAATCTTATCAAATTGTCACAACCTCTTGGCTAACCTAGGGAATTTCAAATTCAAAAGTAGAATAACTTTGAAGATAGCTACGTTATTATACAATTATTAAATAATTGTGTTATACAATCACAGTAGACTAAACATTCAATTAATCCATCCTGCACACCTCACATGGAAGATTCTCTTAAACCATTTGAAACATGAGAAAAAAAAAATAATTAATTAATTAATATTATGTATGAAGTCAAAAACCATTAAAAAAAATACATGAAAGCCGGTGATGTTAACATGACAGTAAGTCATCTTTATGAGCTTTGGAAGTAACTAGCATCAACTGTTGACCTCATAACTGATGTGGTCCAATAAAACGAAAAATTGTGTAATTTTCTTGACTAAACGCCTTGTGAATTATATATTTTAGTTAAAATATTAAAAAATTATTATAAATTATTATATCATTCTTTTTATTTTTTTTATAAAAAATTAAAAAATTATTAAAATAATATATTATCAAATGAGACCTAAAGTTCAAAATAATTTTATTTTTATGGAATGTTAGGTTTTTTTTTTTTTTGGGTTTTTGGGTGCGTGCTACAAACAAAAAAGAGAGTCTCAGAAAAAATGTTAAGAAATTTATTCTTAATTGTGATGTATAATCCAAATTTAATTCTTATATAGTGAAACTTACATTTGAAATAAATCTCAATCACACAATGCTTATTTTATGTATTTTCCTGCCCAAAATTTCTAGATTCCTAACATTGTTGTTGGTATAAATCTTCCGTATGTGGTAAATTTACATTTAAAAATAAAAAAAATTCAACTATAATACAATTATTTTGAAAATGCTAATTTATTTTGTTAGATAATTAAGAAAAAAAAATGACTCATTTAATATGAGTTACAATTTTGATAAAGTATATACACAATGTCATGGGATACTTTAAAAATATCTAACAATTTTTCAAGAGGTCTCTGCATCACATTCTCATATTGCAAGCACCACTATTTTCAAATCAAAAGTTCAATAATGCTTTCAGCCTAACAATCGTAGCATGTTCAACAAATACATCAAGCCCAAATTTAGAAGTGATAAATAACTACACACAACTTCACAAAGGCCCTATTTTGTCAAAATGGTCTAAATTAATTTAGTCCACTAAAAGATAAAATAAATTAAAAAATTAATAAAATAAAATATCACGTTCAAATTATAATTATTTTATTTTTTTTTTCTCACAAAATTATAAAAAATTAAAAATTAAAAATTTATTTCAAACAAATTCTTTTACCCAGTCTAAAATAGCTATAAAAAAGGGTTAAAAAATTTATTTTCAAACTAAGAGGCGAAGAATATTAAACACTTTTTTATCATAATTAAACTCAAAATTTCAAATCACAAAATAATTTTACACATACATTACTTTTGTTGATTTGGCTAATCATAGTCAATAAAAATTAAAAATGGCATGCTAATCACGAGCCATTGATTAACTTTTAGTTTAATAAACTCTGTTATCAATATAGTGATAAGACGTGACATTGTAAATAATATTTCACACACAACTATAACAATTATAAAATTAAAATTATTGAAGTTAAAAAATATCACTGAACAAATAAAAAGAAAAAGTTAAATTAAATATGTCAAGTCCTCGTGACTACTAAGATCCAAAACCAAAGAAAGCATCTGAAATTAATTAAATTTTTTTAATTTATTTTTCTACATCTCATCACTGACCAGACTCTTATTCTGAACCATGGAGTTCTTGCAATGAGCTATGGCTCCTTGAATCGCACTCTGCAACTCTTCCATTGACGACGCATCAGCATAACCCACTCCTCTCACCGGATTGTTGGCGTTGTTGTTGAAACCCGAAAACCCGTTTCGGTACAGAATCCCTGAATGACTCGGAGACGATCGCATCGACGATGGACAGCTTGAAACAATGCTTCTTCTCTTTCTCGGGTACCCCAAATTCCCCGAAAACGAATGCGAAAGGACTCCATTGTTGTCCTTCCTCGAGTTCTCAACAATGGGTACTACATCTGTTCCTCTTTCCTTCACAGATCCGTCGATTTTCACCCCCAAATCGGACACATTTCCCACTTTCTGATTCTGTTTTTGCGATAACTTTTCATACAATGGCTTCACTTTCTTCAAGTACTTGCGTATGACTTCCTTGGCTGTTGCGCTCATGCGTTTGACGGAGGACCCAGATGGGTTATCGTCGGAGTCGCGGGATTTGCGGAAAACGGAAGAGAATCTAGAAAGAGAGAAGTACTTGGGCTTTTTGATCTGCTGGTGGTGGTGGAAGGTGGTGTTGAGGCGTTTGAGTTCGTCTTCTTCGGCGACGGAGCTGGGTCGGGAGGAGTCGCAGTCGGTGGTGGTGCTAGCGGTGGAGTCGCGGGAGGCGGTGGCGGTGGTGTCGGAGGAAGAGGAGGTGCTGGAGGAGGAGAGAAGGAGGGTGCGGACCATGGAGAGGCGGGGGGAGAGGTGGAGGGGGAGGAGTTGGCCCTTGTAGAAGAGCTCGTCGGCGGGGCAGAGGTGGTGGTGCGTCGTGGTGGTGGTGGTGGTGGAGGAGGATTTGAGAGGGGAGAGAGAGATTGTGAATTCAAAGTCTGAGGAGGAGGAAGAAGAGAATGAATGAGTTGGGGATGAAGGTAGAGTGTGAGACTTGGGGTGGTTTTTCTCTGTTTTCCTCCCCATTTTTTTTATTTTTTTCTGGTTTGTAGTACTACATGTTCAGATCAATGAAGCTTTGGAGAGAGAGAGAGAGAGAGAGTTGTGGTGCAATTGGACGCAAATGAAGAATAGAGGTTGCGGAAACTACTTACATGATGGCCTCTTATAAATTATAGTGGAGATATAATAAAAGCTACTACATTTTTGTCTTTTTTTTTTAATTTTTTTTATTTGATCATTTTTTTATATTTTGATTCTTAAAATTTTGCTTTTAATTTTAAATTAACTCTAAAAATTAATTTATATCTAAAATTATATAGTATATGACACATTTGATAGTACATAAAAAAAATATTATTATATAATTCACACTTTTAACATAAACCTAAATATTAACACACTAATATATTTTTTTATCTCATGTGGTAGCTAATATATAGTATTTTCTCTCTAATTTTGAATAAAAATTAATTTTATAAATAAATTGAAAAAAACTTAAAATATTAAGGGTTAAAATTAAAAAATAATTATGTGAATATATATGTTGAGAGATAGCAAAAAATTGTATTGCTTAAATTGAGAATAATAAAGATACATGTGTAAAAAAATATTAAAAAAATTATTATATAATTTAGATTTAATTTAAATATTGTAAAATTACATTAAATAAATTTAAGTCATACAAATTTTCTCTTGAAATATTTTTGTGTATGAGTTATTACCTGTCATTTAAATGTGTTTATCTAATTGAAATTTAATGACAAAAATTATATTGTCACATTATTTTAATAATAAAATCTGTACAAAAATGTGTCTGAATAACTATCCATTACCGTTTGTTTAAAATATTTTACTTTGGCCAGAAAAAAAAATATATATATATATATATAAAATAAAATAAAATCATAACAGATTTATTTTTTACAGTCAAAAAGTCAAAAAGTCACTATCTTATTTAAGTCACATCATCTTATTTAAATCACATCACCTCTCTAACACATCACATCAAACCCAACCCAAACCCACCAATAAGTCAAAAGTGCACTTTTTTAGGACATCCCAAACCAACCCTAAAGCTGGTGGGGTGGTGAAAGAAACACACCCTGTGTGTTCGGGAGGTTGGTTTTTTTTAGTTTTGTGATGTTAATATTATTGGAGAAATAACTAAAAAAAAAAACAAAAAAAAATATTATTGGAGAAAAAATTTGTGTTTGAGAAGATAATTAAATTTTTTTATAGTTAAATGTAATGTTTGTGAGAAAAAAAATAAAATAATTATAAGATTTGATATGTTATTTTATTTGGATTATTTTTTTTAATTTTGTAATTAATTTATTTTTTAATAAAAAAAATCAAAAAAATCAAAAAATTTACTCCTCAAACACCGCCGATACGTACTCTCACTACACTACCGCGTAATGAGTTCGATTTGGACATTTGAAAGTTCACATGGGACTCAGTGAAACGTCTCATCTCTTTCACACACTCTCTCTCTCTCTCTCTCTCTCTCCACCATGCTCACTCATCATGTGCTGTGTGAGGAGGAGCAGTGCATAACGTAGTTACGTGTCACGTGCTTTAAACGTGGAAGGTGGGATGAACCATGAGTTACAGTTAGGGTTCTTTTGGGATCCGTTTATGCTGTGTTTGGTTGAGGGATTTAGAAAGGGATTTGAAAAGAAAAATAGAAAAAGTAGGTGAAATGTGAATAAATTATGCCTATATTTCACATAGTTTCACATACCTTTTCCATTTTCCTTTCCAAATCCCTCCCCAAATCCCTCAACCAAACATCCAAATCCCTCCCCAAATCCCTCAACCAAACACACCATTAGTAGTTAAAAGTAAGTTTTTAATTTATTTTAAATTATATTATTTTTTATATATTATTTTTAAAAAATTAAAAAATCAATTTTTAATTATTTTTCTAAAATAACCTTTAGAGTGACTGGACCATTCCTTCATTTTAATTAATAATATATTACGTTCACTCAATTTTGACTCGTTTAAATTATTTGAAATTGTATATATCAATTGTTCAATCACTCATATGAAAAAATCCTGGTCGATACATCAGATGAGAAGAGTGACAGTTGCGGTTAATTGGGTGACATCGGTCATTCGGACGATCGTTCATCACGTCATTCGGATAGAGTTGGACTCCTCTATTTTATTGGACCAAGCATTTTTTCAAAAAAAATTCATTCGTACAATTTTTTTTTTCTTTCAGCCTTTCTGAATGTGTTTATGATCAATAAGAAAATAATTATGACTGATAAAAATTATTTTTTTATCAATTAAAACACACATTTAGAAGAATTTAAGAAGAAAAATTATGTGAATGTAACCTTGTTAATTTTAATTATATGCTTATTATTATGCATTTTTCAATTTTATGTCAGGAATCAATGTCGCAAATCTCTAATATATATAATATTAAATTTTTTATATTCATGTAAAGGCAAAGTTAAATTAATTAGCACAGGTAGCTTATTTTAGCAATTTAGTTAAAAGTCAAAAAATTAATTTTTGACTTTTTTTAGAGTACATTATCTTTTTATTTTTTATATACTAGTAAAAACCCGTGCTATGCACGGGATGTGAAAAAATTAAAAAAATATATTTATATAAAATAATATAAATAGTTAGATTTTTATATGTAAATTATGAAAATAAAAAAGACAATAAAATGTGTTTGGTTTGAGTTTTTTTTGTTTTTCATATCTTTTTTTGTTTTTGTGAATATTTTTAAAATTTTAAGCATTTTTTTACTTTTTTAAATGTATCTTACTTAGATGTGTCTAAAAAACAAAATATTTGTGAAAAAATATTTTAAAAAATTAATAAATATACAAAAATACGAAAAATATACTAAATTTATATATATATATATATATTTTGTATTTTTGCTATACAAAAATTATACTTTTTAAGTGTATTTGTGAAAAAATATTTGTCAAAAAATATTTTAAAAAATTAATAAATACACAAAAATATAACAATATATTGAATTTTTGTATTTTTTTGGTATTTAGTGAATTTTTTAAAAAAATTCACAAAAACTATATTTTTTAAGTGTATTTATGTTCCGTGCGTCTAAAAATAAAAATAAAAATGCTTAAAATATTAAAAAAAATCAGCAAAAACAAAAAAAATACGAAAAATAAGAAAGTAGAATTTTTTACAAAGTGTTTTTAGAAAACTCAAATCAAGCAAAGTGATGAAACTTATAATTTAAGTTTTACAATTTTATTACAATTTTTGTATCAATTTTAAATTTGTCACAATTTCAATAATGTAACTTTCAACACCATTGCTAAAGTTGCAAATTTGAACGAGTTCAACCTAAGCAACCCGAGTCAAACCTGCAAAATTTTAAAGATTGTACAACATAATTTTTAATTCGGTTATGTAAAATTCAAAAATTCGAATAAATTTAAATGGACTTTGACAAAGGTACCAAATAACTTGAGCAATTGAAACAAAATTTTATATATAAATATATAAAATTATTTGCTAACTTATTTTTTAAATAATAAATAATATTAATTAAAAATTTAATATTAATGAACAAAAACAAATATACCTTTTAGAAAGGGATCATTGAATAAGTTGATATTAAAAAAAATTATATTTTATAATGGCATAAAATAATTTAAATATTATTTCTTAAAAAAATATTTTCAATTTAAAAATTACAAAAAATATTTAAATATAATATAATTAAATTTCTACAAAATAAAAGTATACGTATAAAAAAATGTAAAAAAAAATAAATTAGAATGATATTCTCATTTGATCTGAAAATAATTATAGATGACCAATAAATTATTACCTATAACCTATAACCTTCCTTTTTTCAAAATAAAAAAGATAGTTCACGAACCATCTCTTTTATTAGAAAAACAACATTTATTTCTATTTGTTTTAGCAAAACTCACTTTTTAGCAATTTGAGCCATTTTTTTTTAATTTTTTATTTTAGTTTGTTTAATTGACAACTGAGATTAAAAAAAAAAAATTTAACAGGATCCACTATGTTCGCAAAGACTAAAAAAATCTAGATGAATAATAATAAAAATATTTGAGACCTACAAAAAAAGAAAAAAAAAACCCAACAGTCTATCCATAATGATGTGATATCTTGTGTCAAGTCAACTCTTAATTTGCTATACACTCAATGACATGGAGTCCAATTCTTTGTCACATCATTGTGGGTGAAAGTGTGCATATATAGCATTGCTGAAACAATAAATTATCATATGTAACTCCTATTTTCTTTTTTTATTATATAAAGAAAAAGTTTCACCAACTATCATTTTTAATAGAAAAAAAAATATTTCTTTCTATTTGATTTAAGAAAAAGTCAATTCTTAACTATTTAAGTCAAAAAAAATATTTTATTGTTTTAATTTGTTTAATTGACAATTGAGATTAAAAAAAAAATAGAATCCATTATGTTTGACAATTATTAAAAAAGTCATTCATTTTTTTAATATTTTTGTATTTTATTAAAAAAATATTTGTATTTAAAAAAAATTATTATTTAAGTCCTTGTAATTTAGAAGGACATATATATATATATATATTTGATAAAATTTAAAACCAAAAATAACAAAAAATAGGATAAATTACAAATATACCCCCTTAGGATTGCTTAAAGTACAAATTACTCCATGTGGTTTGAAAAATTACAAATACCTCATTGTTAGTATTTTTTATTTAACAAAAATAACTAAAAAAAATGAAATTCATAATTGCTTCTCCTATACAATAATAAAATTACCTAAATTATTAATTGAAACATATTTCCAACATCATTAAAAATTATTAATTGACTTGATGATTTATTAATAAAATCGGTGATTTGCTATGAAATTAGACACCTCTAGGGATGGAATGTAATTTCCAAAACTACTGGGGCGATTCGTATTTATTCAAATCTCAGAAGGTGTATTTGTAATTTATCCCAAAAAATAAAAATGTAGACTTTTAATGGTGATTAATAATTTGAATATGTGTATTTAATAACATATTATGTTTAGAACAATGATATTATAACACATCATTATGACATATATGTGAATACTGATCCCATTCTAATTGTAGTAACATAATTTAAATTTAAAATT